ATAATAAGGGCTTGGTGATGATGAACTCCTTTAATTTGACCTTCTCTGAGAAGCACTTTATCTGCCCTTCCATTCTAAATGAAAGCTTTGTTGGATAGAGTAATCTTGGATGAAGGTCCTTGCCTTTCATGACTTGGAATACTTCTTTCCAGCCCCTTCTTGCCTGTAAGGTTTCTATTGAGAAATCAGCTGACAGTCTGATGGGAACTCCTTTGTAGGTAACTGTCTCCTTATCTCTTGCTGCTTCTTGGATGCCTTTTATTTCTTTTTCTGGTCTGATTGCTCTGGCTAGAACTTCCAATACTATGTTGAATAATAGTGATGAGAGTGGGCATTTTTGTCTTGTTCTTGATCTTAGAGGAAAAACTTTTGGCTTTTAAAAATTGAGTGTGATGTTAGCTCTGGGTTTGGTTGCATATAGCCTTTATCATTTTGATTTAACTTTCTTTTATATCCACTTTTTTGAGAATTTTTATCATATGAATGTTGGATTTTGTCAAATGCTTTTTCTGCATCTATTGAGATATTCATATGGTTTTTATCCTTTAGTTTGTTAATGTGATGTATCACATTGATTGATTTGTGTATGTTGATCTATTCTTGCATTCCTGGGATGAAACCCATTTGGTTATGATATATGATCCTTTTAATATGTTGTTGAATCCAGTTTGCTAATTTTCTGTTGAGAATTTTTGCACCTATGTTTCTCAAGGATATTAGTCTGTAATTTTGTTTTAAATGTCTTTGTCTGGTTTTGCTATCTGGGTAATGCTGGCTTCATAGAATGCATTTAGAAGCATTCCTTTCTTTTCAATTTTTTGAAATGGTTTACAAAGGATAGGCATGATTTCTTCTTTGAATGTTATGTAGAATTACATGTGAAGCTATCTGGCCCTGGACTTTTATTTGTTGTGAGTTTTTTGATTACCACTTCAGTTTCTTTGCTAGTAATTGGTTTGTTTAGATTTTGTATTTCTATCTAATTTGGTCTTGGAAGGTTACATACTTATAAAAATTTATTATAACATTTCTTCTAGGTTGTTGAGTTTGTTGGCATGTAATTGTAGTATCCTTTAATAATTCTTTTTATTTCTGCTGTGTTGGTTGTAACTTATTTTTCATTTATGATTTTATTTGGACTCTTTTTTTCCTTGATGAGTCTGGCTGAAGGTTTTTCGATTTTATCTTTTCAAAGAACAAGTTCTTAGTTTTATTGATCTTTCCTATTTTTCAGTTCTATTTTTATTTCCACTCTGATATTAACTATTTTCTTCCTTTTGTTTTCTTTGGGTTTTGTTTGTTCTTTTTCTAGTCCCTTTAGGCATAGAGGTAGATTGTGTATTTGGGATTTTTCCTGCTTCTTGAGGTAGGCCTGTACAGCTATGACCTTCCTTCTTCAACTGCTTTTGCTACATCCCATACATTTAAAAAAGTTGTATTTTCATTTGTTTCAAGATAGGTTTTAATTTCCTGTTTAATTTCCTCTTTGATTGATTGGTTGCTTAGTAGGATATTGTTTTATCTCCACATATTCGTGGCTTTTTTTCCAGTTTTTTTTCCTGTAGCTGCTTTTTAATTTTCATGCTATTGTAGTGAGAAAAGATATTTGATATGATTTCAATGTTCTTGAATTTATTGAGGCTTGTTATATGTCCTGATGTATGATCTAACCTGGAGAATACTCTATGTGTACTTGAAAAAAAAATTCTGCACTTTTTGGATGAAAAGTTCTAAAATATCTATTAGGTGAATCTGATCTAGCATGACATTGAAGGCCATTATTTCTTTAATAATTTTCCTGTCTTGATGATCTATTGATCCATTGATGTGAGTGGTATGTTAAAAATCCCTTACTAGTATTGTATTACTGTGGATTTTTCCTTTTATGTTCATTAATTATTACTTTGTATATTCTGGTGCTCCTTTGTTGGGTGCATAGATATTTATGATTGTTATATCCTCTTTTTGTATTGACCCCTTTATAATTATGTAATCTTGTTTGCTCTTTTAAACATTTTGTGTTTTGTCTAATAAGAGTATCACTACTCCAGCTTTCATTTTGTTTCTATTTGCATGGAATATCTTTTTCCATTCCTTCACTTTCAGCCTATGTGTATCTTTTAATCTTAGGTGAATCTGTTGTACACAGCATATAGACTGGTCTGTTTTTTTATTCATTCTGCTACCTTATGTCTTTTATTGGAACAGTTAATCATTTACATTTAAAGAAATTATTGATAAGTGTATACTTATTGCCATTTTGTTAATTGTTTTTGGTCATCTTTCTAGTTCTCTGTTTCTGCCCTTTTTCTTGCTCTTTTCCTTTGTGGTTTGCTGGTTTTCTTTAGTGTTTTATATGGTTCTTTTCTCTTTATTCTTTGTATATATTTTATAGTTTTTTGGTTTGTGGATACCATGAGGTTTATGTATATCATTCTGTAACTATAGTAGTGTATTTTAAGCTGATAGGCATTTAAGTTCAAATATATCCTAGAAGGACTACATTTTTTTAAAGGTTTTATTTATTTATTTTTAGAGAAGGGGGGGGAGAGAGAGAGAGAGAGAGAGACATCAATGTGCGGGTTGCTGGGGGTTATGGCCTGCAACCCAGGCATGTAACCTGGCTGGGAATTGAACCTGCGACACTTTCGTTCGCAGCCTACGCTCAATCCATTGAGCTATGCAAGCCAGGGCTAGGACTACATTTTTAGCTCTCTCCTCCTTTATGTTATTGATGTTATGTTACATATAAGATCTCTTTTTGTGTGGTATATCTCCTAACTACTTATTGTCTTTTGAGTTTGTCTTTTTTTCGTTTGACCTTCACAGTAGCTTTCTTAAATATCTGATTCACTATATTTATTAAATGTTTGGCCTTACCTGTGAAATTTGTTCCTTTATCATATTTTCTTATTTCTGATTATGACCTTTCCTTTTCTGCTTAAAAAAGACCCTTTAGCATTTCTTTTAAAGCTGATTTAATGGTGATGACAATCCTTTAGTTTTTGCTCGTTTGGGAAACTCCTCATGTTTCCTTCAATTCTGAATGATAACCCTGCCAGATATAGTATTCTAGGTTGTAGCTTTCTTTCTTTTAGCACTTTAAAGATGTCCTGCCACTTCCTTCTGGCCTGTCAAGTTGCTGCTGATAAATCAGCTGCCATCGCCTTATGAGGGTTCCTTTGTGTGTAACTTGTTGCTTTACTCTTGTTCTCTATATCTTTGACTTTTGTCGTTTTAATTATAATATGTCTTGGTGCAGACCTCTTTGGGTTCATCTTGTTTGGTATTTTGTACTTCCTGGATATCTGTTTTCTTCCTCAGGTTGGGAAAGTTTTCAGCTATTATTGCTTTAAATAAAGTTTCCATTCATTTTTCCTTGTTCTGGAATCCCTATGATGCAAATGTTTGAGTCCCAAATGAGAGCCTCACACATTAACTATGCCTGCCCCGTCCCCTCCTTGAAAGGTTCTGAACTCGTTTTTGACTCTACAGTACTATAAGACTATAGAAGATTCTGAATCTCTGCTTAGTTTTAGTCTCCTGCCCTGAGAAGCATAAGAATTCAGCAAATTATGTGAGATAAAAAAACTCTAAATTTTGGAATCCCCTCTCTATATTTCCCTTTTCTCCCCAAAATTAGACTATCAAGTTGGCCTCAAGTGGCGTACATGGGATGCCTTTAGACAGATTTCTTTTCATTTCAGATTTCCCAGTTGTTTTCCATAGGTATATTGGTCTGCCACAGGCTACTCTATCTGGTCCAGAAGTGAAAGTCAGTTCTTAAGTTTTTGAGATTTGGCAGTATTAGTGTTTAATGTTGACCATTCTTTGTTTTGAGCAAAGATATATATTCTGAGTTCACCAGGATTTTTAGCCTTAAAGTATACCTATTTAACTTTCTCAGATAACTTTTAAAGAGTTTTTTTTTAAATAGCTCTTTGCAGATTTTCTTGATTTGAGTGGAGAAAAAAAGTAATGAGGGAGGCTTGTTCTTGGTAGCACTTTCCCATAATCTGCATTTTGTGTGTTTAGCAGCTAATGCTTATTATTCCATTTCTTAGTGTAGAGTCTTAAATAGACACCATAAAAGGTACATATTCACAAATGCATATGCAAAACTAATATGCAATTCAGAGCTCTACTTGTTAATATCAAGGTACCATGAAGGAAAACAAGTAAGACCATTGTTAAGTGTGAAATTTGTATTTGGAGAAAGGAATTATTTTGTCATATAATTCATGGGGCTGTGACTCCTCTCCCAAGAGCAGAGTTCCCTTCTAGTTGCCTAGTATTCCCCATTCCCTAGATTCAGGGCCTTGCCCTCTAAGACGTGGTGGGTACATCCTGGTTCTCTGTGCATTCACCTCATATAGATGTCACATTATTCATATAAGTTTGAAGATGTTGCTTCCTCACCAGTAGCAGGAGGTCCTTCACACAGCCTTAAGAGTAGCCTAACTTTTTGTCATCCATCTGAATGCTCAAATGACTATATAAAACATTAAAATACTGGTTTTGGTAGTTACTTGAGCTGAATTTTTTCTGCCACATTCATTCTTGCTAGTTTCAATGATTTCTTAAGGTCATATCTGGATTGTTATGATGACTATATCATTATAGGTACATTATAGGTACAAATAAGGTACATTTTTTTTCTTATCTGTTGGCATAGTATGGTCTGTATAGGTTTTTCTATGGCTTAGAAAGTCAGATAGCTTCTCTGCAATCACAAATAAAATAATTGTTACACTCAGGATCGCAACCCAGGCCTATGACTTCTGGACTTAAGGTCCCAAGATCTCTTGCTTATCACATTGTACATTTGATCAGTCCCTTCCTATTTTGCCCTCTGTTCACCTCTTTTCCCTTTTCCTTTCTTCAAGAAATCTTCAAAAATGCCATGTTTTTATTAACATTTTAAACAGGCTCATCAACTTAATCACAACTAGATGTTTTGCTAGGATAAAACAGACATATTTATTTTTGATGTCTTTCAGACTGGATGCCTCTCCCTGTGAGTAAGAAATCTATTCTCAAGGCAGATATTCCTGAAGAAGAATTGGATCAGTGGATGATAGAAGGGAGATTCACTAGCAGGAGTCACTGGACGTGCGATGGTCCATGGGAATGGCAGCACAAAAGCCACGAGGTGAAGCTGCGTAAAGGGGTCCTCACTCCCCAGCAAACCTCACCTGTGAGTAGTCACCAGGAATGGGATGGATCTGGGAGGTGCCACACTATGAGCTCATCTTCTGTTCAAAGTCAGGGATTTCAGTCTAACAAAAAAGCCTTTGAGTGTAGTGAGTGTGGAAAAGTCTTCACTACAAGTTCAACCCTTAATAAACATCGGAAAATTCATACTGAAAAACTTAATTCTAATCCAAAAACTCTTATTAAAGAGAAACGGTATGAATGTAGAGAATGTGGGAAGGCCTTTCACCAGAGCACACACCTTATCCATCACCAAAGAATTCACACTGGTGAGAAACCATATGAATGTAAGGAATGTGGCAAGGCGTTCTCAGTGAGCTCCTCACTCACTTACCATCAGAAAATTCACACTGGAGAGAAACCTTTCGAATGCAACTTATGTGGAAAAGCTTTTATCCGAAACATACACCTTGCCCACCATCATAGAATACATACCGGAGAGAAACCTTTCAAATGTAACATATGTGACAAAGCCTTTGTGTGCAGGGCGCATCTTACCAAACACCAGAATATTCATAGTGGAGAGAAACCCTATAAATGTAATGAATGTGGAAAAGCCTTCAATCAAAGTACAAGTTTTCTTCAGCATCAGAGAATTCACACTGGAGAGAAGCCCTTTGAATGTAATGAATGTGGAAAGGCCTTCAGAGTGAACTCCTCCCTGACTGAGCACCAGAGAATTCATACTGGAGAGAAACCTTATAAGTGTAATGAGTGTGGGAAAGCTTTCAGAGATAATTCATCCTTTGCTCGACATCGGAAGATTCATACTGGAGAAAAACCTTACAGATGTGGTTTGTGTGAGAAAGCCTTCAGGGACCAGTCTGCCCTAGCCCAGCATCAGAGGATTCATACTGGGGAAAAACCATATACATGTAATATATGTGAGAAGGCCTTCAGTGACCATTCAGCCCTTACTCAGCATAAGAGAATTCACACTAGAGAAAAACCTTACAAGTGTAAACTCTGCGAGAAAGCCTTCATCCGAAGCACACACCTCACCCAACATCAGAGGACACACACAGGGGAGAAACCATACAAATGCAGTAAGTGTGGGAAAGCCTTCAGCCAGACTGCAAACCTCATTCAGCATCAGAAACATCACATTGGAGAAAAGTGATTGCAGTTTAAAGAAAAGAGCTTTGAGACTGAGTGTATGAATAATTGAAGGTAAGAGAATCCATTCCAGAGAATAACCATGAAAGCTTATGTCAAGATAGTCATTTTATTACTGAGGATCAAGCTTCATAGTATTGTGGGTTTTGAGAATTTAAGAATGTCAGACATTCCTCATGGTTCAGAACTGCCTCACCTGAATAGCAAGCAGTACTGTGTAATTAGTCTGAATCGCCAAGTATAAGAATCAATATGGAGCTTCATTAACAACTTAAAAATTTGTTTATCAAATTTACATTTTGATTATTAAGAGAAATTATACAATTCTTAGCCCTCTTGGCCTAGAATTCACATGTATCACTTCTATTCACACCCCATTAGGGACAGCTAACCATATGACCTGACATGGAGACAAGAAAGGTGGGAAGAGGCTGGAGATCAACCCAGTGAGGTCCACATGCCTTTGGTGCTCTGATGAGCTGTGTACACACTGAGTGTATGAAAATCAAAAATAGAAATTGTAAAATTATAGAAATTAAGGAGCAAAGGAACAAAACAGTAAGAAAATGGTCTATAAGACTTTCTTTACCTGAATCTCTCACGTAAGAGGGTGTCTGCTTTTGGCGGAACCCTTTGTTCTCACCCACACTGCTGACATCCAGAGTAAAGGGCATGCATCCTCTCATGTGTCAGCTGGGACTGACTGAAATGCTGCTCCCCATCTTCTGTGTCATGCCACCTTTGGCCAGATCTCCCTGGTTTGTGTGCCCACTGGCTTTCTGCCTTTCTTCTCCTTCCAGTACAATTCATTTGAATGGTATGTCCCTCTTTTGATTTAGCAACCTCTAACTGGTAACATCATGTCACTTATTGTCCATTTATACTTGGGGAATATAGTGATCCAACCTCACACACAGTCCATGAGTCTGGGTATTGCCCCAGATCCAGCTTTTAGAACTTGGAACTGCTGCCTGGGAGGCAGAGATTAATCAAGATTCCTGAGTTTCTCTGGAGTTTCTCTGGAATCTCAAAATTCCAGTTTCTCTGGACTTCAACTTGACTCTGACCGTGGGGTTATACCTAAAGTAGGGGCTTAGTCTGTGTAAATATTACCCTCCAACTATTTGTACCGCAGTTACCCTACACACAGCAGGCAGGGGCACCTTGGCCTCAGGTGGGACAGTCCCAACCACCTGTTTGTGTTTGAAGTCACCTCGACTTCTCTGATTTGCCATTTCCTGTTGTGCCACAGACAGGAGAAGCAGAGCCCACAGCCTGTTCTCAGAAGGCTCTGCCCTGCTCTCTTTCCAGCTGGGCAGTCCCCAGTGACCCTTGCATTAGAGTTTACTTGTCATAGCCATGAATATGAAACTGCATCCTGGTCCTTGCTCTGCCTTTGTCCAGTTTTCTGAAAGTATTAACTGTGTTCACAGGAAAAGCAGAGAGCTTTGTATTTGTGCTTTTTCATTGGAAAATGGCCACTTCCTCTCCTCCATCTGGGTATTCCACTGCCTAAAGACTATCCGGTTGTGACAGTGGTGAGCAACATGTTGAGACTTCTGATTCTACAAATCAAGAAGTGGTCACCAGCACCATGACAGTCTCTGGCAGGAGCAGTGTCTGTGCCCAAAAGTTTGAATAACACTCTAGTCCTGCAGGTACAGATGGTTCATCACCTTAATCTTTCAGCTGGGTCATAGAAATCACAGCTAAAATAACATCTGTGGTGTCTTCATACACACAGTTTCTGGTGGCATGTCCCTTCTCCCTGCCCCCACAAAGAATGGGGAGCCCACACCAGTACAGGCTGTTGCACTCTGCATCATAAAGGTGGGAGAGCAAGAAGACCTGGTCTGGGCAGAAGGTAAGAGGTTCCTGGTTTATGGAGGTACACCCCATCAATCTGGGCAGCCTGTTGATCCCTATAAATACTGCATCTCAGCTCCCAGCACAGAGAGGGTCTTCCATGTCATGGTGGATTCAGTGGACTCCAGGTTAAACAGAGTTGAAGCTTGCTGCTGTCTAAAAGCCCAAGTTCTCTGAATTCAGCCAAGTTATGCCCAAGGCATTAGAGACTCCTAGGAACAGCTCATTCTGTACCTCACTTTTCTAGACTTGCAGATTGGCCACATGGATACTGACTGATAGAGGTGAGGACCCCTGGGACCCACCCTTCAGGGTTACAGGGTCTGAGCTGGTATGTGCCATCTCCAGCACATCCAGCCCACCTCCCACTACCCTCTGTCCCACCTACATGAGAGACTTCCCAGCACACCCAGCACATGTACATGGCAGAGGAGGTGCTGGGCTTATGTGTGAACCAGGCTCCCCACCCCCTCACATGACTGAAGCTAAGCTATGAGCTGAGAAATGGACCTTGGCCCAACTCTCCCAGTTGTGCACTTGGAAGTTGCCCAGTGAGGAAACCTATTGGAAGTGCCAATTGCTCTCTGCCTGGGGAGGGGGGGGGGTTAAGTAGAGGAGTAGCCTCTAGACTTGGTTACATTCTTCAGTGTCTATGGCCTCCCATGAACAGCCACTAAAACTGCCTGCTCTCAAGGAGAAAAAAGAAATTGCTCCAAATTTTCCCTTGTAAATTCCTCTAATCCTTCTGCCTTGTTAGGTTTCAACTCACATGCAGCTGATTGATTTTGCACGTGGTTCTCCCTGCCCACCTGAGTTTGCTTGGCTTTGACAGCAGCATCTAAGATATTGCCTTCTTGCATGCTCAGCAGCTGCTTTTCAAATGGCACCTTGGGCCCTGCCTGGTATGGCTCAATGGATGGAGTGTCTGCCTGCCAACCCAAAGGTCACTGGTTAAAATGGCACCTTGACTTTGCAGCAGGCTCGGTCTCAAGGGTTATTTGGAATAAAATAGCCCTAAACTGCATGCATGCCTTAGGTTGAGAAAACAGTTCCCTTCAACATCAGTTTAATCTAAGAATGGGTAGCCTCCAGCTGCCTGCGTCTTCTCCCCCATCTTCCCCTTTGCACTTGTGCTGCCTCCTGTACACCGCTGGATTAGCCAGCAGGACAGTGTGGAAACAAAACTCTGCCACCTGCCATAGGAGGATTCCCAGCTTCCTGGCCAGCCTCAACTCCTGCTAAATATATTTTTGGTAATATTTTTACTTTAAATATTTTATACCAGTTTTTGAAGGGAAAAGAAATACAAAGCTTGATTTTCCCTATAACTTGATTTTCTCAGTTGTGCAAATGGTCATTCTCTGCAAGTGCCAGGATTTGGTCATGAGACTCACCCTTCCTGTTCTGTGTGTTACCTTGTATGTCACACATCACTACCTTAAAAATTGTTGCCATGAAAGTATTTCAGTGTGTTTTTCTGAAAATAAATGAGAAAATACCCAATGTTTAAGCTGTACACATTGCATTTGTGCTGCCTGCTTCCCTAATCAGATAAAACTAAGACATGACAGATTTGTGCTTCTGGTCCTACCTCCACATATGGCCGTCCAAACTTCCCTGGCCCCAGACACCATAGTGTTCCAGCTGCATCCTTACTGCTGGGGAGAACAGTTAACATTTGAGGGCATACCTTGTGTTAGGTACTGTAAGCACCCAGTGTTTATTAACTCAGTCAATCATAAGCAGCTGTTTCTACCATCCCCTCTTGAAGGTTGATGAAAGGCTTTGATGACCCCAAGAACAAATATACCTGTTGAGAAGACCCCTAGTGGCTAACTGGGCTCATATGAACAGCCTGGAGCTGTTGCTAAACAGGGGCAGCTTAAGCAAGCCACACTTAAGGGAGAAGTTGGCACTAAACTGCTTGCCTCCCACACTCCACTGCTTGCCTGCACTGTGCCTGTCTGAGCTAGTCCTTATAAAGGAGTTCTGGAATCCTATTTCAGTCAGTAGGATTGAGACTCCCTATCCAATCAGAGCTGGGCAGCTATAGCCTTATTACCAATTAGAGTGGCTGTTCTGGCCAATTAGGACAGTGCTTTTTGGACCAATAGAAATGTAGGATTTGGAGTCCTTATTTGCATGAGAACAGACCAATTGAATCAGGGGAGGGGGCTTCTCTAAATAAGTTAGCTTCCCTTCAGGGTGGGTGTGCACTTTGGTCCCACTTCCACAGAGTCTGGTGGGCAAGTGTTACAGATTCCTGAAATTACAGGGAGACTGACTCCTTAGGGTAGACTGGCTTCTCAGAATCCAATTATGTAGCTGTTGCAATAATTCACTTTAGTAAGGGAGGTGTCATTGGTTGTTCCTTGGCAAGTAATGATCTCATAGTCCTCATCTTTTAGGTTTTCTTTAATCCAAACTTTTCTTATTCTTTCTAGTGGTTTTTATTCCTACCATCATAACATGCTAGATATGTTCACATCGTAAGTCACATCTTGAGCTCTTACTCTATCATCCAGGTACTGTGAACATTGCCTACTTTGTGCCGTGGAATCTAAACAAAACTGCTAGGTGTGGGCATGGGCAATGACCTATCACTAGACATGGTTTTCCTACTCACTTTATAGATGAGGAATCTGACTTGCCCAAGATCACACAGTGTTAGAGTAAGAAAAGCAGCTTCTGATCCTAGAAACCAAGCCCTTAACTATTAAGCTGGACTGCTGTGGGTCTTGGAGAACTGGTCACGCTAGCCATCAGTTTTCACTCACCTCTTCTCTCTCTTCCTGTTTATTCCCTTCCCCAAACAAGGCAACACCATAAGTGTTTCTAAGAATGCTGGTGCATGCATGACTTAGAGCAATACTATTTCAGTGAATGCATGTCAAACTCTGAAAACACACATGCACAAAAGATGTTTCTAAGATATTGTTGGCCTTAAAAATAAGAGTGCTTGCTGTTTCACCACCAATATGCATCTATCTGGGAATAGCAGAGGCACTGCAGTTTGGAACGAGCAAACTGTGGAGAACCACAGGTATGTGGGAAGATCAGGGGAGAGGCAAGGAGGAAGTGGGGAGGGGCCATTTGGAAGAGCTCAGTGGGATGTCAGCTCCACATTGGCTGGGCTGTTGTTGGGGAAGGGAAAGTTCTTTCTTCTGCTGGGTGTGTCAAGCAAACATCTTCCTGGTTGATGTCTGAGTGATAGTGTATGAGAGTTCCCCCTCCAAGGCTTCCCTTCTTGAGTTTAAATGAAATTTCCTTTCTTTATTTTCATAATCTTAAAACAGTGGCCAGAGTGGTCCTCTGAAACTTGTCAGAACTTCTCAGTGTGCTCTTCAAGTCCTCCAGCGTAACCCTCCCATATCTCATTCACCTAGGATCGCAGCCTGCGGACTCCACAGGACAGTCCCCTAGTACTTCATGTCGTAGTTTCTTGTATCCACTTGGCTAGGCTGTAGTGCCCAGTTATTCAATCAACCACTAACCACTGTGCTGTTTAGGTACAGTTAATAGTACAGGCAGTTGATTTCAAGTAAAGAAGACAGAAGTAATTGTCCTCAATGGGTGGGCCTTATGCAAGGCCTCAGGAGCAAAAATCAAGCTTCCCAGAAGAGAAGTAATTCTGCCTCAAGACTACAGCACCAGCTCTTACCTGAGCTTCCAGTCTGCCATCTGCCTATAGATTTCAGGCTTGCCAGCCCCCACATTCATGGGAGCCAATTCCTTAAACTATATCTCTCGAATATATCTATATCTTTGTCATCCATATCTATATCATCTCCTCTGTTGGTTATAGGACAGATAGATATATAGATTATCATCTTCTCTCTGCCTTTGTATTATATATATGTATCATGTATATACATGCACACACACACATGCACACATACACCGTATATCCTCACAGCCTATATCTACAAGTATACTGTATAATACACTATATCCAATAGGAAATATACAGATACAGATATCTTTCTATATAGAGATAGATAGAGATCTGTATCTCCATTCATCTATGTATTGGGGTTCTCCAGAAAATCAATATATGCCCTATTGGCATTGTTTTTGTGGAGAACCCTGACTGATACACCTTGCTCCCTTTTTCCCATTGTTTCCTTCCCTCACCCTGCTCTAACCACACCGGCCTCCTTAGTGGGTCCTCATACCAGCCGCACCCTGTTTTTGGGCCTCTTCACTGGCCACTCCACCTGGTGGACCCCCTCTCCTCAGTAACCCAACAGCTCGCTGCCCACCCCCTCCCAATGCTGCCTGTCAGCAACACCCACACTGAATCACTCTATCTAATATGGCAGCCCATCCCCTACAACCTTCCCCATTCTCCTTACCCTGTTGTAGTATTTTCTTTTTTCCACAGTGCTTGTCCTCTTCTGACAGACTGTGTATTGGATTTATTTGTATTAAAAATTGTTTATTGCTTGTACCCACCACTAGGATGTAATTCCCAGGAAGGAAATCTTGCCTGTTGTGTAGACTGATGCAGCACAGAGGACATTCACATGACACTTGTTGGAATGACAGTGAATGAGAATGCTGCAGCGGTCAGGAAATTGGGTCTTGGCTGTGAGATGGGGTCTTGGGAGACCAGTCAGCTGAGGGGCTTGGCTTGATGAGCTGGGTCCACATGGAAATGACTAGTAGGGCTGGGGGTCAGTGCTAGGGAAATAGCATCAGTGATTGGGCATCTCTGTGGGGTTGCTAGGAGACTTTGGCTGTCAGTAACTATAAGAGAGACCAATTATCCAGCCCAAGGTCACCCATCTAGCAAGTGGCAGAGCTGGCACTGATCTCAAGAAGTCTTAACCTTAACATTGTACCATTTGAAGATGTGAAAACTGAGTCAAGAAGTATACAGTGGCAGGGGCAAGACAATGTCTGTGGATTCTGGAAAACTTCCCTGCCTAACAAGTCCAAATGAGAAAAAGAACTCAGAAATTGATACTATGGGCCAGTTCAATATTCAAGAGTTCTGGTAGAAGAAGCTAATGATACCAAATCTGCCAGATTATATCAGGGAACAATACGTGGGGCCATGATATGCTGGCCTAGTGCAGTCTTCCTGCTATTTCTGTTTCTGAATCTGCAGGTAAACATGAGACTAAATCACAGCCAGATGCAGGTGCCAGGACAGTGCAGGGCCCACAGCAACATTCCTCTAAGTGTGGGGGCCAGTGCCTTGCAACTATGACTTCAATGTTGGTTGTAGGACACAGGAAGCAGTTAGTATCCTGTCATAGTAATCCATAAATGAAGTGATGAGGCTTCAAATGTCCAAATCCAGTACCTTGACAAATCTGCCTTTCTGCACCCTTGCCTGCATTTTCCCTCCAGTGCTCCTGCTCACTTGCTCTCTTTCAGAACTATATCCCACCTTGGTTCCTACACTGTGCTCCACAGGTTGGAAGATTGTCTTTCAAATGCCCAGCCTATTTGTCATTACTGTCAGCACTCTGCTCTTCTGTCCCCACTGAAACAGGATTCCTTCTCAAAGCCTAAGAGATGGAAAATACTTACACTTGGGTATTTTTCATATTTAGAAACAAAGATATCATATAACAGAGTATTCCTGAGGAGGATTCATTCTAGAAAATGATGGTAAAAAGATTTACCTGGAATTATGTGTTTATTCTATTTTAGGAGTCTTACAAATCAATAGCTATATTTTTGAAAAGCAACAGAAAACCCAAGCCACACTCTTGGGGGAAGTTACATTTATTTAATAAGGGTCACTGAATAAAGTGAGAGGCAATGAATGTGATGAATTTGGGGGAAATTTCTAAAGAACACAGAATGTAATAGATGTAACAAAGTTGTTGTAGTAAATGTAATAAATGTGTCAAAAATCACATCAATAAGCCTTCCGGACAAGATGAAGGCATAGGTGGATACATTTTTCTCCTTGCACAACCAAAAGAAGGAGAACAACAAATTTAAAAACAAAATATGACCAGAACTTCCAGGAAATCTAACTGTATGGAAGTCCAACAACAAAGAAGTTAAATAAGCATTCATTGAGACCAGTAGAAGGGGCGGAGATGGGCAGCCAGGGTGGAGAGGACTCATGGCAAGGTGGTGGCTGGCAAACTGGGTGTACACAAATTTGGGTATGAATAAACTGGGAGGAACAAATGGGGAATGAGACAGACCTTGAAACCCAGGGTTCCAGTGCAGGAAAATAAAGCCTCAAATCCTCTGACTGAAAAATCCTGTGGGGATTGTGGCAGCAGGAGAAACTCCCAGCCTCACAGGAGAGTACTTTAGAAAGACCCACAGGGTCCTAGAGTATACACAAAACCACCCACCTGGGAATCAGCACTAGAAGGGCCCAATTTAGTTGTGGGGAGTGAGGAAAGTAACTGAAAGCTGGTGAAGGGCTGAGCATGTGGCATTGTTTCCTCTCAGATCCCTCTCCTGCATACAGTGCAACAACGCAGCAATGTAGGTTGCCCTGCCCTGGTGAATACCAAAGGCTCTGCCCCTTACAACCTAACAAATTCACCAAGAAAAAAAAATGGCCCAAATGAAAGATCAGACCAAAGATCCAGAAAAAATACAACTAAGCAATGAAGAGATAGCTAACTTATCAAATGCAGAGTTCAAAACACTGGTAATCATGATGCTCACAGAAATCGCTGAGTATGGTCCCAAAATAGAGGAAGAAGTAAAGGCTATGAAAAGTGAAATAAAAGAAAATATACAGGGAACCAACAGTAAAGGGAAGGAAACCGGGACTGAAATCAAGGATTTGGAACAGAAGGAAAAAAGAAACATTCAACCAGAACAGAATGAAGAAACAAGAATTTAAAAAAATAATGAGAGGCTTCAGAACATCCAGGACAAGTTTAAATGTTCCGACATGTGACTCGTAGGGGTGCCAGAAGGAGAAGAGGAAGAGCAAGAACTGGAAAACTTATTAGAAAACATAACGAAGGAGAAGTTTCCTGATCTGGCAAAGGAGACAGACTTCCAGGAAGTCCAGGAACCCCAGAGAGTCCCCAAAAAGTTGGACCCAAGGAAGCACACACCAAGGTACACCATAATTACATTACCCAAGAATAAAGATAAGGAGGGAATCTTAAAAGCAGCAAGAGAAAAGGAGACAGTTACCTACAAAGGAGTTCCCATAAGACTCTCAGGTGATTTCTCAAAAGAAACCTTGCAGGCAAGAAGGGGCTGGAAAGAAGTATTCAAAGTCATGAAAAGCAAGGACCTACATCCAAGATTACTCTACCCAGCAAAGCTATCATTAAAAATGGAAGGGCAGATAAAGTGCTTCCCAGATAAGGTTAAGTTAAAGGAGTTCATCATCACCAAGCTCATCATATGAAATGTTAAAGGGGCTTATCTAAAAGAAAAAGAAGAAGCTAAAAAATATGAATGGTAAAATGACAACAAACTCACAACTATCAACAATCAAACCTAAAAAAACAAAAACTAAAACTAAAATGAACTAAGGAGACAGCTAGACAGAAACAGAGTGATAGAAACAGAGATCACATGGAGGTTATCATCAGAGCGGGGAGAACAGGGGGAAAAGTACAGGGAATATGAAGCATAAATGGCAGGTACAAAATAGGGATGATTAAGAGTAGTATGGGAAATGGAGAAGCCAAGGAACTTATGAGTATGACCCATGGATATGAACTAAGGTGGGGGAATGATGGTGGGAGGGGGGCACAGGGTGGAAGGGAATAGAGGGGAGAAAATAATGGGATAACTGTAATAGCATAATCAATAAAATACATGTTTTAAAAATCACACTAATGAAAACGTATAAATATAATTAGTATAAAAA